ACCTCTGCCAGTTTACAAAGCATCAGAATAGATAAGCTCTCTAGAGTTGTGGAGAAAGAATAGGACTAAAAGAAAATCCTACAGAAACACATAGAAGAAGGAGCTAGCAGAGGAGGGAGAAGTTGCCCTCATTGAATGATAAGTAATATTAGAACGCTCATTTTACATCTTAGGAAGTTAGGGCAGGTGGATTTTCAAATTCTGGTGTCATCCTCAACTGAAACTTAAAAGTTATGATAATTTGGTAACATGTATTGAAGTGACAGAAATAGATCAGTTTTCAAAGTCATTACTTGGAAGCAAGCACATTTTCTTTTATGGTGTATTTCATTCAGCTGGAAACACAAAGTAAATATTAAGACAGAGGTATCTGGAAGTGGAGAGTCTTGTACAGTGGATCATTTCAATAGGTCTGCAGTTTCTTGGTCTTTGTGGTAAGTCCTTGGTTTAGGGTGGACTTCAGTTTTATTTAAACTAATAATTCAATGGTGATTCAGGGCAAGTTTGGTCGGGAGCAGGGGCAGAAACTGTAACTTTTATGAGCACAAATTGTTGGATATTTCAGCTTTTTTAGGATAATGGTTTCTCAAACCCTACTGATGACATTACTTAAAAAAATAATAAAAATCCAGCTAGTTTCTGTTCTTTGGATCTTCAGTCTTAAGGGCGTATTTACCACCTGGTTACAAACCATGCTCAATGTAGCCTGTGCCATCTGGTCTCCTCTATGCTCCCCTAACTCTCCGGACACTCTAGGAATAGAATACTTGTCACCAAAGGATATGATTATTTTCTTGTATGTCTTTTCTATCTAAATTTTGATAACCATGAGGAAAGCTAAGCCTTATCTTTAGTTGAGTGCCTAGTAGTTTACTTTATAATTGTCGAATAATTGTAACCATTTATAAGAGGAAGTATTTTTAGATTTTACATACCATCAAGGGCTTTGCAAATATATCCATATTAAATGAGTTGATAAACTCACATAAGAAAAACATGTCACCACTGTCTATAGAATTAAATCAAATTACCCCATAGATGAATGCCTAGTGTATTGATATAAAATAGGACGGAGAACTATGAATACAGAGAATTAGCATAACAACTCACAAGAACACTAACCATTGTAACAGTGACCATAGAAAATCAGAGAGCATGCTTATTTTTCTTTTACCAAGCTCATGTTTTACCTTTGAAGAGTTTAGCAAAAAATAATCTTATAAAGTCTCATATTTTAAAAAAGAAAAATTTTGATTTATTAGGAGAGCCTTTAGAGGCATTTCTGCATAAGTGCATATGGTGATATTAAACAGTGGAGCCTGCATCTATCCTGTTATTGTTCGGTAGCCCAGAGACAAATGATCTATTTAAACACAATGACCTTATGCCCAATCATGGGGATCAACTAACACAGAATCCAAAGCGGAACAACTCCAGTGGTAGCAATCTCTCCTGGAAAACATCTGCTACCAGCTGAGTGTGTTTACATTGTGGCAGCAGCGGCAGATGTGCTCATGGACAGCCCATCTGTGTGGCCATGGGAGGTTGGACTAGGGAAGCTGGGCTGGGCAGGCGGCGGGGGAGAGCTTATTGTAATATACTGAGTTGCTCTAGAATTGCAAATTCGCACCTCACTGCAGTGTTTTTCTTCCTGTGCTACTAATGTCTTAATGCTAAATAATTTATGTGCATTACTTAAAATGAGCAATAAAGTTTAGCTTTGGGACTGCTCTAAGGAATTTAGCTATTGTACGATTAATAAATTACAGAGAGTAATTGCTAATGTAAAAATTAATATAAAGCCCGGCCGGGGTGGTTCAGTGGTTGAGCATTGACCTAGGATCCAGGTGATCGGGGTTCGATTCCCGGTCAGGGCACATGCCCGGGCTGCGGGCTCGGTCCCCAGTCGGGGCCTGCAGGAGGCAGCCGATCAATGACTCTCTCATCATTGGTGTTTCTCTCTCTCCTCCCTTCCTCTCTCTGAAATCAATAAAGATATTTTTTAAAAATTAATATAAAAAACTTAGATAATAAGTTGTCATTTTATTTCATTTATTCCATCTTGGGAGACCCAAGATGGCGGCGAACCGAGTGGAAGCTACACTGACATTCACCTGGGACCAATCTGGATTTACAACTAAAACATTGAAAAACCATCCTGAAAACCATCCTGAAATCCCACTGAAGACGAGCTGGAGAGCACCCGCATAACCCAGGAGGAAACGCGGAGACGGCACAGAGACCGGCGGGAAGAGCGGCCCCGGAGGGCTGGCGGGGCTCCCGCAGGCAGCAGCTGAAGGCCGGAGGGGATCTCAGCGGCGGGGTCCCACTGGGGACTCTGGGGCCCAAACCCCAGGCTGGGCTCCCCAGCCCGGAGCACCAGGACTGAGACAGGGCCACGTAACATGCGGCTGTGACAAGCAGCCGGTTCCTGGCTGCCAGGGAGAGGCGGCTGGGGCTGCAGGCGCCCTCTGAACGAGCCAACGCATGTTTCCTGTGCAGCCGCTCACCTTGGGCCCCGCGGAGGGGCAGTGGACTGGGGCTGCGTGGGGAGAGCCTGGGGAGAGTCTTTCCCCCGACTGTGGGGGACATCTTTCTCTGGCAGCGAATTTCGGCTTTGGCCCGAGGGGGGAAGCAATTGCCCCACCCTGCTGGAGAGCCTCTCGCCGGCCCAGAGGAGTTTCCACAGCCCAGGCTTGTTAAGAGGCTGATAACAACCAGCCGCCCCACCCAGTGGAGCTCCTACAGACTCATTAAGAGAATCAGATGAATCAATCTGCGGCCAGAGGCAGACCTCAGAGTGCTTTTGAGTCTTTGCCTGATCTGCTTCGAGACCCAGGCCTTAGAGAGCACACTCTGATGTGCTACAACGGGCTAAATTCTGTGGCTTACAGCAAAGCTATGCGTAGGACATTGTACAGGATACTTAGTTATCTTCAAAGAAATTAAAATAAAATAAAAAAGTAAAATAAAATAGATGTCATTTTAAATTGTTTTTATATTTGAAAATATTATTAAGAAAATATTTTGGTCTCTGGAAAAAGATAAAGCTGAGCAAAATAAGCCTCAGCCTTTCTAACTCAGCTCTTCCTTGTTACCTTGTTTGTTATGTTCAGAAGTGTTATCCCATGTATAGCCTGTAGACCATAATTTCATACTCAACAGAGGTTATGTTCAAAATTATCTATGACTCTTTAAACAATAAAAACGTTTTTTTTATTGCAAAATTTCTCAGATCTTTTTTCTATGTTAATACATTTTCTGAATCTCCAAGGGAGAGATATACGCAATTGTCCTTCACTGAGTATGTTTTTGTGGAGCATTATCCTGGACTAGTATTCTCTTGTGTTTACTTGAGAAATTCTACTTTGGTGACTGAGTCAGAAATAGCAATCTGGAACCCCCCAAAATGAGATATTTTATATTTGCATTCAATTTTTCACATAACTTGTTTATTGAGATTTCAGAAATTAAGCAACAAAGTGACCACAATCTATCTTTTAGGAATGGATTGAACAATAATTTTATTCCTATACCTGAGACTTTTAACTTTCATGGGCTTGTGCACAATGAAGGTAGTATATAGGGGGAGTCATTAAGCTGTCCCCTTAATTTAGAGATGAAGTTAATTTCATTTCCAAGAAGAGAGAGAAACTAGTTTTTAAAAAAATAAATATAAAATGGATGAACTTAGCTATCTGCAGAAGTTCAACCTTAAGATGTTTCTGTAAATAGCTATTAATGGAGATGAATGAAACATCCAAATTCAATCAAAATGTTTGTATAGGAACCTCACAGTTAGACTTTAAAATAGCTGTAATATAGTAAATTTTGTAATACATAAAGCGCGATTCTGACATAAGTTTAACTCACCTGTATGACAAAATATAAGAATTTGGAGTGAGAATTGGCAATGTTTATGCAGCACCATGCAGGGGGAAAGCCTCTGAACAAGAAGGCACACATCTTGTCATTAGAGATGATTCTTCTATGAAGGGCAGGGGTCATTTATTACACTGTCCTAAAGCCTAAATTATATATCTCTCCTATATCTGTACCTATACTTTTGAGCTGTGTTCATTACAAAATAATTTATTTGAAACTTAAGCTTCCCAGGGAACTCCTTGCCACTTTAAAAGAGGCAACATAAAAATGTGATGTTAAGACAGTAGACACTGAAGCCAGACTGAGCACTTGGGTTCAAATCTTGCTTCTCTTGCGTCTGAACTGTGTCACCTTCAAAAGTCACACCACTGGGATATTTGCAATATCTATCTCATAGGTTTATGATCAGAGCTGATTACATCCCCAGAATAGAGAAGAATGACTCATAGTATATGGATCTTTGAAATTAAAAGGTAATTATGCAAATAAGATCTATATTCATTAACCATTGTTAATGGTTTGCTGTTGGTCTCAAGCAAATGTTTCAAAATTGCAGAATGCTAACTGTGACCTTATGTAATAATTTCTGGAGAAAATAGTGCAGAGTGCAGAACCATAGACGAGCCATTATAGAAAACCTGGAAGAAGATTTAAACATGCAGTTTTCCAGAATCATCTCCTGGAGAGTGAAGTGCAAACAGTAGCAAGTGGACGGAATAGCATTTGGAATTACAGATCATAGGGATGCCTTAAGAATGTGCAGGGTGTAAGAGGCCATTTGCCTCTCCAGCCATGAAGCTGTAGTGACCAGCTGACAGCAGTTAGGAGGACTATAAATTTAATATGAATGACTGTAACTTGTGTAACATCCCATTCCTTCAACTACAAACACAACGCGCGACACATAAAATTGTTAAGAATTTTCTGATGTTCTTGGGCTTTTGATTTTGTTCATAGTCTCGTGCATACACTTTAAAATAAATGCCAAATTGCCAAGGGCTGGGGTTGAGAGTCAGGGAAGACAAAAGCATTAGCTAAATCTTGTTAAAAACTATGACCTCATATTGATGTACTAAGTAAAAATGAGGGCTTGGGTATAAGAAATAAGAGAAAAATTGAAAAACAAAAAGGAATTTAATTTATTTTACACATTTACAAATGATAAAACAGTAACACCCAATTGCTCTACATAAACAATAGGGAAACAGTGTTGAACAGAATGAATTTGACAGAATAAAACCTCATTTTTCAATTCCACAAATTATATAAGAAATATTCAGTAGCAATTATTCTGTGCAGCAATGCTATCTCTGTAAACTTTTTTCCTGCTATATACATTTGAACCACTTGTGCTTTTGCCTACACAAAGAAACAGTGTCTAGTAAAAGGTGCTACTTAAATGGGAGACACAGGGCCTGAAGCCACAATCTGAAAACTGCAATTCAAATACATTGCCAGCTTGAAGACTTTTTATTTTTTTATTTTTCTATTGTTTTAAAGATTTGGACAGACTAGACCCTTATTGTAACTCTAGGTGTGAACAACATAGAATTTGTTATAAAGTAGATCCCTCTTAAAGCAGGTTAGTAACTGAAGTCTCAAAAGAACTTCTTTATTCTAAAGTGGTCTTATCTCCAGGGTGCTTCACAGTGTCACCCCTGAAGATTTTAGCATAACACCAATCTGATGTGTGTATATCACAGACTCACTGTGTACACACACAAACACACATATACAACATTGTATATATGCATCACACATGTCTATTTGTACTATATAGATATGTCTATAGCACATATATAATAAAATATCTATTTCTAGGTGGTCTTTATTTGGATTTTCTTTCATTAAATACAAACAATAATAACCTCCTCTCACTCAGTTTTTAAAACATTGGTATATTGATAATGTCTGATGGGGAAACTTCAAACCTGTAGAGGTAACAACTAACTCTATTTAACTCTTCCTATACCCCTGCCACGATTATAGCTACTTCCAACAATAACCACATGAAAACAACTCTTTTATGAACCAAATACCACATTGTGTGCATTGTGACTAACTGGCTCAATAGAAATAAATTATTTTGATCACCCTTTTTCCTGTATAGTAGCTTAATAACTAGTTGGTATGTACACTACCCATAGCATATAGAAGGCAGCTATGCTCACCACCAACGCAAGCATAGCATTATTGAAGTAAATTGCTTCTGTAAGCATATATGTAGAAACTCCCGTTAGCAATTGATACACAGTTCATATGATATACACTAATAAAGACATCTGAATGCCCAGCACCTTCTTTCAGATAGAAAAACTTCCACAGTAATTTCGTCAGTCCTGTGGGCTGAATAGTCAGATTTGCCCAGAAAACCTGTTGCTGATTCACTTTTTAAAAATTCCAGCAACTTTATATTAATTATAGAACAGGCTGGGTAATAATGATGAAAATGTTTCCATGGCCTATTCATGTCAACAGCACAGTAACAACCATGTTCTCTGAAGGACAGGAATCTTTCACAATCAGCTGCCTGAGCATTGCCAGGTACAGGGTTAAATTGTAAAAAAAAGAAATAAAAAACTAAAGCTGTGAAAATATAATAATACATAAGAAAAAAAACCCAGATACTTCAAGTATGTATTTATAATTTGATTTTATCATGATCCCTTTTGTTCCCTTATTGTTTAAATCTCAATTCTTGTTTCTTGCTGTTAGCCTTCGGTGATTCCCTTGCCCCATCCCTGTAGGAAAGCCACAGTAGATCTTGAAGGGGGAGGCATGAATGGAAAGGTATACAGTAGGGAATGAAATGATCATGTACAGTTTGTATTCTTTGAACACTAAATGCCTTTAATCGAATTCATTCTTGAGTATTGAAAGTTCCCTGAGATGAACAAAAGTAGTCTCAGTTGATACTGAAGCCCTTTTTTATATGCCAAACATTTTCAGAACTGGGCAACGTATTTAGAGAACACAAAGCATAGGGTAACAAAGCAATGCGAAGCTAAAAAGGCACTACTCAATGCATCTATGAGATAAACTTCAACGCACAGAACAGTGAGTGGCTGGGATGCTTTTGCTGTGGCCTTAAAATTGTTTAAATGCATTTGTTGAAAATGCAGTAAAGATGGCAAGGTACCTTGCTGCTGCTTTTTAAGACATACTTTGAATGAGCTCTGAAATGAATTTTACCTATAAGAATTTACTTGTGATTTCAAAATTTCTATTGAATTCAAATTCAATTGTTACTCAAACAATTTATTAGCAAATATGCAAAATTAAGGTTCTATAAATCACCTACCTACCTTTGATTTATTAAGTCAATCAGATTTTTCAACTTTACATTCAAAACATGTGCCTAATTCTTTTTAAATTTCCAGTAGATAAGAGATTAATGATAAAAGTACATTATGTTCTATCCATTTTTAGCTAAGCATCTCCTTTATTCATTTTATTTTGTTTTCTTAGAAACACATGAATTCTCAGAAAATATAGTCTCCTATATCACACAGTTCTACTATATTTTTAAAAATAATACCACATGTCACTAATGTATTGAGAACTGTAATACTGAGAATATCCCTTTTCATGATAACATAGATATATACATACACCATGTTATTTATGCTTTTCTTTTCAGACTGAACATATTCTGCATATTATTATTCTTTCCTCAGACTGCCTTGCCTAAAAAAAAAAACAAGAAGTCATCTAAGTTGTTTCAGACCAAGAGTAGAAGTGGGAACAGAGCACTTCTGCTTTTGAATGAAACAATTTACCATCAGAATTACCTACCAGTGTAGGATAAGTTATCAGTAAACAGGGCTATTGGTCAATTCTGTTATATGCTAAAACATTTAAATCACTTTATTAATAATTTCATGTGCTTCTTTGAAAACATATGAATATGATAAAGTGAATAAATTTAACCACAGAAAAAATGTAGGTCAATTAAATTCATTCAAAGTGCAAAATACTCACACACAGTTTCATTGTTAAACCTCTTAAAATGAATCATCTCTGTTATGGAAACAACGCTCAGTCATTTCTGCACTAAGAAAGTTTATGATATAAAGAGCGTGTCAATCTTTCCTTTTGAATAAGGGAGATATCAAAGAATTGGAAGTCACATTTCAACCCTATCAATCTAAAGGGAAAAATGCTTCCAAAAATTATTGTGAAATGTAAAAGCTGTGGAATTCTTCCTTCAATTAAAAATAAAGTTTGAGTTTGGAAAATTTAAAATATCTAGAGAGAACTTTCACGTTAGTAGAATAACATATTAATATGTTATTTTCATGAAAGGAGAATGGTTTGTTGTGTAGAAACATCAGTATAATCTTTGGTACCAAAAGTACATTTTTTTTCCGGCTAATATTACCATCTCGGGTGACACAGAACACCTTTCCTTTAGAATGGCTCATTACTACTTAATGGTACAGTTTAGCTGGCACCTTCTACACCACTGGAAAAAAATCTGGAGGTTTAGAGTTGTGCAAAATAAAACTTTTTTACAAAGTCATTGTGTGATTGCTCTTTAAAAATTTAAGAACTTTAAAAATGATTACTTGAAGGTTTTTTATCTCATCCATACCTGTCTTAGAAAGGGTTTCTAAGCACGCCAATACCCAAACCAAGAGATCCCAGACAAACAAAAACAAGAACAGAAACAAAATTCATGATCAGACTCAGAGTCCTGACGGAAGGCATTTACTTGAGTTGTTTAATCGTATGTATTTCGCTGCTCAAACTGTTTCCATCTTCCTATCTGCTGGCGAGGATGGTCAGCTTCCCCACGGGCTGAGTTGTGTTCCTGGGTTCCTCTTCTCGTGTGCTTGGCATCGCGGTGGCAGCCCAACGTGATGAACACCTTTGTTTCAGTAACTAATGGCAAGTGCATTGTTGGATCTTGTAAACACTACTGATTATACATTCAAGCTGTGTTCTTCGTGGAAGTGGCACTTACTAGGACCCTTGAAGTCAAAATATTTAATTTTTAGAGCACTTTGCAGGTATTTCCTCAGCTGGTAGTGGATTTCTCATGAATGTCCTTTATCACCTTTCAGGTAATTGGTGGATGCTGATAGTCCGGTTTTGGATCCTATGTCAGATCTTAGGAAGCATCTTCAGAAAAGAAGTGCATTTTCAGTTTGTCTGTTTTCAAATGTGCTTTATTGCTTTACACACTTTCCTGTTGTCAGTTTCAGAGCGCCTCTATTATGCAGCACATTTAATGTTTTGAATTCTAATGGCATTCTGTGAGGACTTGCATTAGAAAAGTACCTATATTTTAAGTCATCGTAGTAATGATATTTGACAGCTTTTCCATTCAAATCCTTCGGGAATGGCCAGAATCCATACAGGTGAATTTCATCACAGAATCTTGTGGCAAGTGTGTACATGAGGAGACCTGTACTGGGTCTTTTGATGGGAACTTTGTTTGTCAGCCAGTAACTAGAAAAAAAAAAACCACACAGAGAGAAAAAAGAATTTAGAGAAATATACAACATAGCCTATAACAAATATACTATGTAGAATTAAATGAAATTTGAAAAGTATCTTTATAAATAACACTCAAAAAGTTACTGAAGAAATGTATTTCTTAAGCATTTAGAAATATTAATGCATTTATTTTATTTTCCTTTAATCTTTACTTTCTTCCTTATTTTTGAAATCATACAATTAGCCAGGGGACCGGAAATGTAAGTAAATATTGTTATGTAATCTCATATCAAAATAAATTAGTAGCAAACATTTATATACTATACAGGGTGGAATCTTCCCAGAAGGTGTTAAATATGCTGTGAAAGGCAGGCTAATTGGGCAGTGACTAAGTAATCTCCTGGATAAAGAACAACATAAAACAAATATATTTGTAACTAATTCACCATTTATGCAGTTTAACATTTTGTAAAATTGGTAAAATATATTTCAGTGCTGATAAGTATCTTATACTATTCATTTTAAAAGGCAATAAAATACTCCAAAATGTTCAGACCCATCATTGTCACCACACTTTGTTCACTCGAAAAGTGGAAACTCAGAAGTTAATCTTCCCCTCTGGTGTGGAAGGGGCTTTCCAATAGGTCCTGGCATGTTCATTATGTTACGTGGAAACTGGTAAAAGAGTAAGAGCGTAGATTTTCTACTTTCAAAGTTGTCCAATAATAAATTGTGTGTTTTTTAATTTTCGTTTTTATTAATATCTTCTATTCAGGGAAATATATACATTCCCTGCCATCCAAATGTAAGGGGAAGATGCTTAGATTCTGGTTGTTGTTGTATTTAAATAGTTGGCTTAGACTTTACATAATATTATTTCCTTTATAAAAAATAATTCATGAAACTTTTCAGGGGAGAACAAATATATCTAGACTACTGAATATGAAAAGAACAACATTTATTTTATTTCACTCGATAGAGAAATATTGGACTTTCAAAGCTCACTACAAACATCTAAAACAGGAAAAATATATATACTTTGCCATTACCATTCCCTTTTGTTTTCTTTTTCCCTCTCCTTGGAACCAGAATTGACCTTTTACTTTGTTTGTTTGTTTGTTTGTTTTTCTTGGGGTGAAGGCCACATGCTAAAGGTGTTAAGCAATGTAAAATGCATGATTGACCTTTTGTTATCACAAGTGTTTTCAAAAAGCCTATTCTCAGTAAAGGTTTATAAGGAATTTCCAGAGCAGAAAATCTAAGAATTCTCTCACAACCCAAAGGTAGCTGAATGGGCAAAACCCGTACCACAGGTATGGCCAACCTCACGCTGGAGCCACAGACACTGGTCCCACGCCTACAGTCTGAACGCTTTGGAGCGACTGTGGTACAGCCTGAGGTCCCCTCGGCGTTGAGGAAACAGGTGTCCTTAGTGTAAAATGACATAGGAAAGTCTTGTGAGTGTTCTCTGGGCGTGGCTACAGATGTCGGTTGATGCAGTTGGTTAGTTTTGAAAAAAATGCATTTATTTTTAAATTTTTAAAGTGAGTGAAGTTCAAACTCAGTCAAACAATGATTATTTCCATCAGGGAGTGTCAGTGACTGGGAAGAGTTTGGCAGTATGAAGGTCATGCTCAATTGTGTGTTTTAATATTATTCTAAGATGAGAAAAAAATCACTAGCAGGCAATAATATAACGCGATCTCGTTTGTATGGCAGTAGATCACACTCCATGGGACTCCATGACCGCACTATACACAGACGCTTTTCATTCCTCAATTCTGGTGAGGTTTGCTGGGATACACTTAGCTATGGTTGGTCACGGGCAAAATACCAAAGCAAGTCCTTTATGTAATACAAGCAAGTAACTCTAATGTTAGGAAGAAATGCTGAAGGCAAAATTATTGGCCTATTTCAAAACGGTGTCAGAGACGTACAATGCACGNAGGAAGAAATGCTGAAGGCAAAATTATTGGCCTATTTCAAAACGGTGTCAGAGACGTACAATGCAACACTTCTAGATCCAGGCACGTATGAGACCCCGCAGGCAACCTGTGAGGTTGTCTTCTCGCCCGCAGGCACCGACCCCTAAATGCAGAGCAGGCAGGTGAGCATTACGGACAGACTGGCACGGCCAAAACGATATAATAGAAAAGTGTAATTCTTGTGACAATTCTCAACTCACTGTGACTTCAGTGAGGATTTTATGGAACAAATAAATGTTTTAATTTTTTAATAGGGAGGATATACCTAGAATATTAGTCACTTAATATTAATAAAATTGTGTTCTGAAAACCAAACCTTGATCACAAAGCATCTTATTTAAAATTAACAGGTAGAGATACTTTAGAAGCTTGCTGTGTTTTAATCTATGCAGTTAAAATGCTAGTATTAATAAACTTTCCCTTAGAAATGCTAGCAGGAGAAGAAATTAAGATATGTGATGTTTGGCTTATCACAATTTGAATAATTCAAAGGAATATAAATTACCCATTTTTCAGGACAGTTTTGGGGAAAAAGCACAAAATAAATACCACTTATCCTATTGAATTCCAAAAATAAAATAAAAATCACAAGAAAACAGACCTTAACATGTAATAGATAAATTTAAAAAACACACAAAACAAAACAAAAACACACACCTTAAAACAGGTCTAAAACTAAAGTCACAGCTAATAACATTCTGTGAAATTAAAAAACATAGGAACTGATCTAAATACCTCCAGTAAGGATTTACTGTGTGCTTATCAAAAATCTAATGTCTTACTTGAAATTGTACAGGCGAACTTAAATGGTCAGGATTCAGTATTTCCCAGAAACAAATTCCACACGTGAAAATAAGTAAAATGAATACACTTTTGAAATTCAATTAACGTAATCAGACAATATTGGTCAACTTTACAAGCCAAAACCCAGAGTATAATTTTAAAAGCCATATTTGAAAGTGTCTGCTTATATACAAGCTGACACTTAAAAACTCTATGTTTGTTGTGAGTTTATAAAAAAGAGATAGAATATTTACTTAAGTTTTTAATCTTAATTAGGACAAAATGGAATTGAAAAGACTGCATTGATAACATCATGAACTACCCATACTCTAATTCAGTACAAGCTGTTCTAAATTTTATCTCAAATTCTTATCTGTTAAGCTTAATATTTAGCAATGTTTTCAAGTCAGGAAATAACCTAGTTTCCATGTATGCATTTATTTTTATAAATGAATTAATTTTTAAATTATAAAGTAAATGCAGGCTTTCTGAAACTTGAAGAAAAAAGGAATGAATAAAAAAAAAGATTACCTATAACCCATCACATAGAGATAATGACTATTATAATGTGAAGCATCCTTTTGTTTCCCTGACAGTTTTGGATATTAATACATATTACAATCATTCATATATATATATACATAGAATATTTTTTATCAGCTAGGCTGTTTTATTTCAGATATTATTAATTGCCTCTCTCCCTTCCTTTCTGTGTTATTTTAATATTGTAATACTCTGTCTTGTATGAAACAAACTTACCCTGGATTTTATGTGTACATTGAATATTTCTTTTTTTTTTAATAGATGCAATCATCTCACTACTTCCCAATATGGAAGTCCTTTTTTGCTAAGCAAGGTGTCTTATCTATTGCTCCTCCAACACATCAATCCCATTTTTCATTTCAGATGAACTCAACACTTGGGATGCTTTTATTCACCAAATCAGTATGCTATAGAAGGATGTATTTATAGTCGCGACACAGGGGTGGGAATCTGTGACATAATGCTTTTAAGTCCTTGGGAAAGCTACTTTATATCCTTGGACACTGGTTAATAATATTTAACATGCAAGCAGTTATGATCATGTAAAAGAGATAGTAACTGTGGAAGGATATTGTATAAAACTTGACACATTAGTTGAATTTCATCATATCCCACAACAACCCATTCTTCACTTCTACTCACACGTTCCACTTCTCTCTTGGCACCTTCCGTAACTACATATTGGCTGGACAATGGAGGTTATGTCATTTAACCTCAATGGGCATGTTTCCTTAGTTGTAAAACAAAAACATTTATTGTATGGCTTTAGGGCTTTCTCTATCTATAAGGTCCTACTGCTGTTTCAAATCTTCTCTCCCCATGAAACTGAACATTCTCTGACCCACTCTTGGTCCTGCTCTGTTTCCTCCTCTTTATTCTGTTCCCTTCACCTTCTTTCAGGTTTTATATACTGCAAAGCAGAGGAGTTACTAAAAACTGCTTGATTTTAAAGCCAGCAACATATTAGATTTTATGTCATAATGAAATTAGATAATAACCACCTGATGAGCCAAAATATATGATTATTTCAAGCAACTAACAGTTTAGAAATAAAAGCAAAAATGGTATATTCAACAGCATTTAATATACTGTTGACAGTTCACACTCAACATATTGGCAAATAAGGAATATTAGTTTGTATTTATATTTAAACAAAGAAGTCTAAAGTTTAGAAGTAATATAATATTCTTACTCTTAAAATATTACTATTCTTCCAACAGCTGAACACAAAAATTTCTAGATGAATGAATAAAGAGTAGGGAATCCCACTGTTTTTAACTTAATATTATATTACATGCAAAGTTTCCATTCATGAGCCCAGAAATTCTTTTGTCTGGAATGTGAGAAAAGTATATAGCATAGTGTACTCTTAGCTGAGAGGAGTCTTCTCTATTTCTCCTCTCGCGTTTAATCTTCCCACGACTGAGCTTCGTGGTTCCATAGGACGATTCTGTTAAGGCTATAATAATGCCTTCTGGTTCTATGAAAATATGAAGTATTATAAAAGAATTAGCTTTCTATAATTTGTTGCCCCAAATCTACACCTCACCCTCCCAAAACTAATTATTTTATAGTATCTGAATAATATATATGAATTTTCAGGGATTCTGTCCTTCATATACATCAATATGTTGGCTCATTCTTTGGAGTAATATATGTGTAAATTAAAACTTAAATCAGTCATCCCTGGGCATACTGAAC